TGCGGAACTATTAAAAACTATTTATAGTTCCATCATTGCGGCATAGTGTGCTATGTGTATAATGAAATTAAGGTTCAGCCTTTATTTTTAAAGTATATTCTCACATGTATGAATGGAGTTAGTGTGAACTGCTCTGAGTCTCCAAACAGAAGAGGAAAACAGAAAACTGGTACTGTAAAATGAAATAACAATGAATTTTGATATCCCTAAATTTTCATATTAAGGTCACTGCTAAGTAGGAAACTGAGTTACAGTTCCATTGTTCAGAGAAACAAACAGAGCAAGTTTAGGAACTGGCAAGTATAGCAAGATTGACAGGTCTGCTTTTCCACAGAAGAAAAACAAAATCCTGACATTTGACCCAAAAAACTGTATGAAATACCTTATGTGAAGCAGTATGTATGCTTTGTACTACTCTGGGCATTTTTCTACTTAGGTTTTGTTTTAGAGGAGAAGATTTAATGCATGCATGATTCATTAGTTGTAACCATCCTGCCAATTCCATTACATGAGAGAAAGAGATGAGAGTTTGTTGGTCTTGGATAACCTTTTGTGGGTATGATATGATCTTGCCTTCTTAGAACTTTTACATGGGTGTGAAACCACATGTTAAATGCAGTTCCAATTAGCAGGTTCTTTTGTTGAATTTGGACTGAACATAACTAAATAGAAACTAGATCTTTTAGTAGGAAATCTAAAGAGAATAAATTTAAAGGTTTCATTCGAAATAAGATACACATGTTGAGTTCTCACGTTACACTAAACCAAAATGTGATTTGCAGTTTACATTAGATACAAAGTCAGATCCTATATTCTGGCTTCTTCAAAATGGTTAGAACAAATTTTTGCTTAATGTGTCATATGAACGTAATAACTAAGTTTAAGTTGAGTACAAATTGGCTTTGGATCAACAACTTTAATTTGTTTAGATTTTATGGTCTAATGAGTAAAATCACTTAACAATTTTGTCAAAATGACAGAATATTTTTAAAACTGGAAAATTGAATTTTATTTCATCAAGTCATTTGTCCATCTATTTAAGTATTTTCAAAGTATTGGAAATATTTGAAATATAAATATTTGACAAATAATCTAAAGATAATTTTTCTTGCTTCATATATAGTTACACTGAGAATCAACTAGGCATGTTCATATTCAAACATGAAGCTCACACTTTATCCTCACCATCAAAATCTAAAACATGTACTCTTTTGGCCACTCCAGTATTGTCTTCCTTAGCTGATGAGACACTAATAATTCCTCAGTCAAAGATCTTCCTCAGCACTGCTATCAAAGATATTCAAACTTGAAAATGCAGACAATATTATTTTATGCCTTGTGATACTGCCTTCAAATGACATATCACACCCCAAAGAGCAAAGCCAAAGAACTTTTAGTATAGTCTCTGATGGTACAGCACAGAATCATCATTCATGTGTTGCAGTAGTTTTCAAAGCTCTGAATGATAATTGGGGGAAAAAATAAAAGGAATTGTTCCAAATACAGATTTTTCTGTCTGGCACTGCTGGTAGTAAAACAAAACAATCAGTATTTTTATAAAGCTGTATGAGGCTTCAGAAGACACTTTATGTTAAAATTCTTTAACAGAGAAGAAAAATGGGCTTTCGATCAGTCCTCCAAATTCTTGTACAAATATCTTGTTTCTCTGGCCTGTTAATGGCATTTGGTCCATCGACAACATCCAGCAATAGTAAATATTGTAACAACAGCCAACACTTTAACCAATTTTAAAAGGAAGTTAAGTTGATTAATATGAGGATCTAGCAATAGGGCTGCTAATCATGATGATGCTATGAAATTTTTGGGTTCAGAATACTATGTCAGTAAACCAATTCGGAATTAAATGGGGCTCTATGTGTTGGATTATATGATCAAGCTTTATGTGGCTTTAAGTTCTTAAAAAAAGACAGGGACTATAGGTGTGCCCTGAGATTGAATGGAAGGAAAGCAAATGATAAAATGTGCACTGCAACTTTGCAATGCAAATTCTGCCCCTTTTGTTCTTACAACATGACATTGCACACAAGTATACAAGGGGCAGAGCTTCTGTTGTGACATCACAAAGCACATGTAGGCATTTTGATGAAAGCTTGATTTATTATGGACACCCAGGGAGGAAACTGGCTGATTCCTCAGTTTGTGGAGGATTTGGTGGGAAACCATAAAATGGAGGGCAAAAGGTTTATTGCACATAAGGTGCAATAAAAGAAAAAAAAATGTAATGAAAGAGAAAATGTGCGACCACAATGCTTTCATTATGATTCACTCTGTCTTTGAATAGACTCCCTTGGTTCCGTACATGTTTAGCCAGGTAATGAATGAAACTGAATATAACAGTTATCAGTTATGTCCACTAATTTTCTATGGATTCAGTCTTCACTATTTAGACACTACATTTTAGACTATGAAATTAAATATATTATTTCAGATAAGAACTTGTACATCAGGGGGTTTATTTTCAGGCAGCTGAATCAGGTTTTCAGAACAAGATAAAGTCTATTTTGAAATGCAAAATAATAATTCTGGAAGAATGTTCAAAGATTTTTAACAATTTAGGAGTGCTGAATTCATTCCTATAAGAATTTCTTGCCACTAGCAGAAAAAGAGGAAGGGATCTCATTTTTGAACCACATTATACCTCCTTGCTTTTTAGTCTCAGCTTCAATGGAACATTTTAACAATGGAACTTTGTGCCTAAAATGATAATAAAGAAAATGCCTCATTTCTTAGAGGAGTGTTCTTTCAGGAAGATTAATGTTTAAAATAAATAGCGCCCACAGTCTTCTTAACTTAATCCAACTGAATTTTATGCCATTAGGAAAGGGTATCTCTTTTAAACAGTAACTTTTGATTGATCAAAGGTAAGCTTGAAATAAAAAAAAACAAACTACTAAAGAATCTCAATACCTTTAGCTACATTAACATAACAAACTGCTTTATTCAATTCAATTCATGCATATGGCTAATGTGGTCTGATGTGGTCAGTCAGTCAGTCACCCATTTTTGCAAAGTAAATCAGATTGTGAAAAGTTGATAAAGCCTAATCAGGTTTTTCAACTTTTCTGTGGTTAGTCATTTCTCAGCCTTATATGGCATGCATCTAAAACATGTTTAGAACGTCTGCCACATTTGTAAAAGAAAGTGGCACCTTAATTGTTCACTAGTTGTCATGTTGCTAAACTAAATTATGCTAAGAATGCAAATAATTCTTGGCATATATTCATGCATGGATACTCATCACATTATTGCAGGGCACAGAAAAGAATTAAGAAATACTAAAGAAAGAATACTAACTTAAAATTAATTTACTCCTAAGCCTTTCACTGTATCATTCCATATTTTCTACATTTCAAACCATACCTGTTTCGTTCACAGTCATACACTACCTTTTGTGCTTTAAAATTCTCACTGCTCACTTTTTTCAGAATCTTATCAGCTCCATCAAGTTACAGCTGTCTTGGTCTCTTAACATATTCATATTGTGTTCCATCTACTGAATAAGAGAGAAGTAATCCCTTTTCTCTTCCTTTCCCTGCCATTGTGATGGGTTGAACACGTAGTCACGCTTGATTAGATTTGCTTTTAGTCTTTCCCCACCAGCAGTCCAGGTGTTACTTCTGGCATTTTAGTTCCCAGGGGCCTCAGTAAACCATGGCACCAATCTGAATTGTCTTCCAAAAAGAAATTGCTTAGGGACAGTTGAGTCCAGTGCCCAATTTGCCAGTTGTTTATTAGGAATTATACCCACTGCTCCCCAGACAGTTGAGAAACTCTCTAGGTATCTCTAGAAACCAGTAATGGATATTAGGCACTCGGGACAGACAGCTCTCATTACACTACATGGATGAGTCTCAATCACAATAGAATCAGTTTGTGGTCTGACCATGACAATGGAACAATAGAATCACTCTCCTTTAGAGCAGGAGTGTCAAACTACCAGTCCACAAGCCAGATGTGTCATGGCAAAACCACGCCCACCCCATTGTCAACAATGAAAAAAAGTTGTGATACATCGCAACATGTCACGTGACATTGCGAGTTTGACACCCCTGCTTTAAAGCAATGCAATAGCTGCTCCAAGAGAAACCAAGGTCTAATTATGTAAGTCTCCACATGTGACAAGCCTGAGATTATCTTGGTCAAGCCTATGATTGCTATAGTAATCATGAATTCTAGGGCTTTATACAAGTCTGTCCAAGGTCATGAAGGATAAAATCCCCCAGTGTCTGGATATCAGTTGCAAAAGTCTGGAGAGGGCTCTTGTTGGGCAGTAAGAGTGACTGGTGTATTAGTAAGATCCCAAGCTTGTCTTTAAACTTAACATAATGTGTTATCACTCCACCCTAGCATCTAATGAGAAGAATCCATGATCAAGATCTTGTGAGGTATCTGTCACAATCACTGTCATCCCCTCCCTTATTTTGGCATTGAGCTGGATGAAGGATCTGACATTCAGGTGAACAGATTTCAGACAAAGCAGCATCACTTCTGACTGATTTCAGTAATGCATGCCAGGTTTGCTACCTCATGCACCACCAAGTTGTGAATGAAAGTGATTTTGTTATAGATAGATGTGGGATTAACTATCAGCAGTTTGAGGTCAAGATCTCTAGCAATCCAACAGAATGAAGCCATCAAATTGGAAGTTGAGATCACTTTCAAATTGGAAATCTCCTTTCCTCTGTAAAACAGCCTACCCGATACTTCATGCCATTATCTTCCTCTTGCCAATGCTACAGGTGTGTAACTACTCATGCACTCCTCCTGCCACAGTTGATCAGCCCTCCCCTTCCTTTGCACCCTAAAGGAAGCTGCAAAGAGATCTCTGTATCACCAACCAATCTAATAAACCAGGCTTCCTATTGAATATCATTCATGCTGGTCTCTCATATCCAAACTATGAACCACCCCCATACAAATTCATATATCCTTCCTATATCATAATAGTAGAGTCTCTCTCCCTAATCTCTGGTTCGCTGGGATTAATCTCTAGTCTGCCTCTCCATAAAAATGATATGAAGCAGAAACTTTGAGAAATGGACAAGGATGGGCAATGAATTAGGCCATATTGGCTTCTGCTTTTTCAACATTTGCTGGGGAAACCACCATTCAGCTTTATATCATTTTTCTTGTTTATTATTTCAGTTTGTATCCATTTGTTCTGGATTATACATCTAAAGCTCATTCAAATGTTTTTAAACTAGTTCTAGGATTATGCTAAGTGGTTGATTTTTTGGAGTGTGGTGTTTTGGGAACCATTTTTCTCCAATGTAATAGAAAAGCAACTTCTTTCTTTTTTCCAAAGAACCTTAAACTCTTGATAACATTATCATGGGAGAGGTATAGAGTTTTGCACTTGCCTTAGCTGTGAAATGACTGAGCAGTGTGTGTGAATATATAGGCATTTAGAGAGGTTTCAGAGAAATAAACACAATCACAATCTCATTTCCAAAACACTTCACACAAAAGAAGTACACTAAGCTAAAAAGCACAATAAAAAAGTACTTAGAAATAGTACTGAATAGAAAAATAAAGAGCTGTTTATCAGGGAGAGATAATATTCTGGAAACTGAAAGACAGATAACAAGGAACAGTCTCCATTACTTACCCAGTTTGCATGTCCTTCATGCTAGCAAAGGACTTTTGCAATCCTTCAACAAACCTAGGAAAATAAAGGGGAGTACCAAAGAGGAATTATAGTTATTTATCATAGCAATTTATCCATCCCAAATTGCTAAACAGAATATTTAATAACTACCCATACCAGATTAATTTGTATACCAAAAAAAGATGAACTGATCAAAAAATTAGTATGGTATAAAATAACATCTCTATTCTGTAGAATAACATCTGGTTACCAACATATAGGAGTCCCAAATACGATACAATTGATCACATGGAGCCTGCTGATGATCAGTGTAATTAAAAACACCATGCAGAATATTTACTGTATAAAAAGAGAGAAATTCTTCCTTCCCCAAAGTGTGTGTGTGAGAGAGAAAAAGAGTGAGTGAGTGAGAGAGAGAGAGAGAGAGAGAGAGAGAGAGAGACCCAATATAGGAGGACATGAAATAATGTAATACCTGTATCTTTCAGCTCCGAGTGCTTAAAGGAATATGGGCTCTAAATACCAATTTGATAGATTAAGGAAACACAACATGAACTTTTAAACAGACATATTTTTATTTCCAGTAAGAACAGGCAAAGCACCCTCTCTCAATGTTGTATCTTTCTGAGAAAAGGACATCACTTGAATGTCTGAAAAGGTCTCTTTCCAGAAGCCAGCTATTGTTAGAATTCTACAGGCTGGTGCTGCTGTGAGTTGTGCCTGCTTGCTCTTCTGCTTCAAGACCTGGTCATGCTTTTTGACCCTTCCCCGGTAGCTCCATTTTCCTTCTACCAGTAGTTCCTGGTTCAACTTGCCAGCAAGCAATATTGGTCTTACCTGATAATTTGGGACATTTATTTTGCTTACTGTGGCGAAGTTCCATGAAGGAAACTTGAGTTACAAAAGAAAACTGTTTTATGAGAGTACTTGTCCTTGTCAAGACTTTTAGCAGAATTTGGAAGGGGGGGTGTAGAAAAGTGTCTGTTTCTAGGGGAAAGCAGCATTTTATGTAGTTTGTGTAGTATCTATATTGTATACAGGGCTGACCTGTGCTCATTTCCTCTTCAGTATTTGCAAAAGAAAAAAGTGAAGTTAGTGAGTTTTCAGTATCTGAAGCTGATTCACTTTTAATTATTAAAACATACGCATGTTCCTGATATATTAAAAACAGAAATGTTTGCAGCATGATTGTATTAGAAGAGCATTTCTGAAAACCTGCGAAGACAGATGAACTGAAATTTCTTGGAGGGTGGGAGGCAACCTGAAATAAATATCAGAAAGCTGAATGGATTCTACGGAATCCAAATTTAAATTATAATCAGACTGATAATTTTGTCAGGCTTTTCCCTAAGGGTTTCCCATGGAGAGAGAGACAATGACAAACTTACCCATCAGTTCCCCCCCCCATGAGGTATAGAAGGAGGAGTGACATTTTCAAAGTATATATTCATAATTTTTATATATATATTTGTCAGAAATGGTTATTCTGTTCCGTTTAATTTTCAGACATTGTAAACTAGCTGACTGGTATTTGTTCTTTTTTTGTTCTTATTTTAACGACTATGTCTACTTAGAGCAGGGGTGTCAAACTGCCGGCCTGCAGGCTGGATGTGTAATGCCGAAACCGCACCCACTCCATTGCTGGCAATGGAAAAAAAGTCACGATATGTCGCGACACATCACGTGACATTGCGAGTTTGACTTAGAGTTTCATTTCAATTGCTCTGTCATAGTCTCCCACAGTGCTTGAAAAAGTGACTAGAATATATCTTTCCAATTATTTTTCAAGATGTTCTAGGAGTTTTTTTTTACGTTTTGTGCTAACACGAATAATCTATAATTGAATGGAAAGATAAAGCATGAATAAGAATGAAAAAAAAAATATCAGAAATCAACAGCAGAGTAATGTTTAAGAAATAAGCTTAGATCAGAACTGCTATTCACTGAAAGCTTTTCTGAAGAGGATGCTTTGAGCTCCTGCAAAAATACCTCTATATAGACAGAAAAAAAGTTCCATAGCCTCGGCACTATTGCTGAAAAGCCTTGCCCAATTCTGTACAGCATAGAAAATAAATGGTCACCACATGTGGTATCTCATAGTGAAAAGAAATAATCCTTCAGATAATTCGGCTCAGCTGGTTTTCAAAACAGGAGATCCAGCATAGAGTTTTATACCCAAAATTAATACAGAGCTCTGCCTCATTTTATTTATTTATTTATTTATTTTTATGGCTTTTAAACTAATAACAGAAAAAGAAAAGGGAAATTATAATGCAAATACATACATTCTTTTAAAAACTATATAAAAATGCCTTTTAAAAGAGTGAAAAGTGAAAAAAGACACCATAAAAGCATAATATAAATTAAGTGTCATGGCAGAACGTATGATCATTCAGTTGGCACATAAGTACACGCAGTTGCATCAGTGACGGAGTCACCTCTCTTATCTGTATAAAGCAGCAACTTTATGATGTGTTTACTTCATCTCCCAGAATTCCTGAGCCAGCCATGCTGGGAGTTGAAGGACACGGGTCATAAAGTTGCTATAGTTGACCACCCCAGTATAAAGGGATGTTGGAAGCATTTTCTTGCTGCAAAAAATCTGAAGCTTCAGCTTGCCCTTCAGCTTCTCTCTTACTGATTACCCGAGGGCCTGGCGTCTATCTTTTTGAAATTATTCATCCTGTAGACCACTCCCAATTATTCTTGAAATCTATCATTTAGGATGCTGGACTTTCTCACAATCTTTCAATAGCCTTGTCTTTCATATTTCATTGCTAACTTTGAGCCATAAAAAGGATTCTATTGTAACTGATGCAGATCTGTCAGCAGTCTTCCCATTTTTTGAGGACAGCCTTACACAGACTATATTAAAAAGTTTAATATGCATAAGCAGAATTGGGCAGGGTTGGCTTTTTCCAGGTTGCCACACCTGGTGCAGTGTCAGGAAATACATTAGTTGCCACAGCTCTGATTATCTAAATTAATCTCAAGCTCATTTAGTAGGCATGTAACCTCATTGAACACATGCAAAAAAAAAAAAAAATCTTCCCAAATCAGCTATTTCTCTTAGAAATACTATTTTCGTCCATTCCTGACAGAACTGCCACTTAACACCAGTTCATATCATCACCCATGGTATCTTTCTCAAAAGCTTAGCTGAGATGGGAATTAAAGATCCCATCCTAACATGTTTCTAGTCATATTTGGTCAAATATTCTCAAAAGGGGAATACTAAAGGGTTATTACTCAGCCTCTTGATCTTTGGTACGTCAAATTTGCAGCACTAGGATTGCTCAGCCGATTGTAACTTGTATCTTTGGTGCCCATAAGACTGCATTAGCCCTGAACCATTACCTAGATAGAATAAATAAGGATCTGAGTCTCAAACTTTCATGGGCATGAGAACAACGAATATAAGTCATTGGAAGTTTTTAAGAAGATATTGAAAAACCATTTGTCTGAAATGGAACAGGGTCTCCTGCTTGAGCAGAAGCTTGGACTAGAAGACCTCTAAGGTCCCTTCCAACTCTGTTATTCTGTTATTCATAAAGAATAAAAGGCTTTTTTTCCCCCTGAAAAACAAGGTTGATTGTATGTGTTACACTTTTTAAAGCCAGCTACTATGGTGCCTTTTCTAGTACACCAGTTTTTCTTCGATGCCTAATAATCTGTATTATATATTATATAAACTGTATCTCCTAAGATATGGAAGGTTCCCTGCCCACACACTGTTGTTTAGAAGAGTTGTGGCTTTTCATCTAGGCGTTTGGTAAGGGAGAGTGAGACCCGTTCATTTCATTCTATGTGATCTGTCTCACTTGTCATCTTTTACTTATTATTGGTTGTATTGTAATCTCTTTGATTGTTGTGAGCCACTCAGTCTCATTGGGAGTTGGGTAGCATACACATTAATATGGTAAATTGATATTATGTAATTACTTTTTCATATTACGATATGGTTTTTCTCTTGAGAAATGTTCATAAAATTAGCTAATATAAATATGGCAACCATTGTTTTGTCTAAAATGTGTTTTGTCAATCGTATAACATTGGTCAATGTTAACAACTGCACTGGCTTCCCTCCAGCTTCCAGGGCCAATGCAATATCCAGTTTTTACTTATATATCTAAAAGTTTGGGACAAGAAAGATTGTGTCTTTCTGCCCATATTTGTTACTGAAGTTCTTATTATGTGCCACAGCATCCATAGAAGTTAGATTGGTAGGCACAGAAGAAAGACTTTTCTATAATATGATCCAAATAGTGGAACTTAGAGTCCTGTTTATTACACTTTAGAAGCAAAGAACTTGTGCCCAAAATGTAATTTGGTTTATTTTAATGTTACTTTCTGATTTTATTGTGATAAATACTCTCACCTCCGTATCTCATATTGTTATATATTTGTTTCATTTTCTTTTATGTGAATATTTTGCTTTCCAGCAACTGGTGAGCAGAAGGATGATTTAGAGCAGTGGTTCTCAACCTGTGGGTCGGGACCCCATTTGGGGTCAAACGACCATTTCACGGGGGTCGCCAAACCACACTGTCCGCCATTTTTTTCCCTTTTCCCTAGCTATCCTACTCCCTCTTATTGGTGGCCACACCCACTTGGGGGTCACCACAACATGGGGAACTGTATTATGGGGTCATGGTATTAGAAAGGTTGAGAATCACTGATTTAGAGAAATGTCAAATAAATTTTATTTTGTCAACTCACATTTAGGTCTTTACAGATTATCCATTTCTGACCCTACCAACTTTCCTAGAATCTGATTGAAGGTCAGGATAGGGGTGATACATTTAGGGATATCGTGTTTGCAGACGTCATGCCTGTTTCCTTGGTATGCTTTGTCCCGTCCACATAGTCTCTGAATTCCTAACAAAGGGGAAGAAAAGTGATATGTCTCTATGTGTATCTATCAACTGAGGATAATAATATTTCATTGCTTATAATCTACAAGAATTTATGTCACAAGTTACATGTTAAGTTTTAAAGTTAAAGTTAAAAATTCTCTTTTGCATTTATAGCATTTGACCCACTGGAATAGCAGCTCAAAGAGACACTTATTGTTTTCCCATGAAAATGAGATATGATTCATGCGCCCTACCAAGCACAGATTGAATTACTGCATGACTGATGTACTATGATGTTTTAAAAAGTTAATTTGGAGGAAGTTATTGTGGCCCTTCCTTGACTAATATTGTTCCTTTTTGCTTTCTCATTTTTCTCTGTTCTTAAGCTTGGCAAGATAGCTTTGCTTCTCTTCTTGAGAAGTTCTACGCAAAAGAAAACAATATGTGGTTCACAGTCAAGGTTGTGTTGACCCTCACTGAATGTATATATCAGATAAGGAAATTGTACAGTACCTTCCAAGTGCCAGTCCTCAGGCCATCAATCTGACAAGTTTGTGTTTATTTTATTCTCTTCCTGCCCTAGATAATAATATTTGCTACAGCTAATAAGAAACAGCATGCGTTTGTTTTCAGTAACTTTCTTTCTGCTTAAGATTTTTGTAATTTTGAACTGCTCAGATTGAAGCTACACCAGCAGCTTTTTAAAGCAGTCCTATTCTCTAGCTAATGTTAAAACTGCACAAGGTAAATAGTGTTTAATTTTAATAGCTTGGGCTTTGACCTAGATTTTTTTTTAGAGAAAGAATGCCTCGTCAAAAGAATTGTAATAACTGCCCCTAGTTCTATAATCATGAAGGATAGACTGTAGATAATAAAAAAATGAATGTCATCCTAGACTCTCACCACATAATATTTACTTCAAAAAAAGCAGAAATAGAATGTGTAAAATATTTAAGCAAAATAGTAAGATTATAACGAGGAATATCTTATTTAAATGTTTAAGACGGATAGACAGAGTGAATGCCAGAAAACAAAACAAAATATTCCAAATACAACAATAGATTTATTGTTTTCTATTCCTTCCTGATCCAGTATTAGTATTTTCCCCATAATGTCATTCACTGATTGGGCAGCTTATAAGTGTTGTGTCACAGGACAGTTTAATATTCTCCCTGGAGATTTTGCATGAAACATAAATTCTCATGGACATTTTTAACTATTACAGTCCAATTCTAAGCGCTCACTACAGTTATTCTGCCCAGCTGTACAGTTTGAAAGAACTTACATTTCCAACACTACATCTTTTGTTATATATTTACAACTTATTTGTTTATTTACGGTATATCCCACCTTTATTTTAACAAATAAGGCATTGAGCATATCCAACACACTCTCCTTGTATTTTGTCTAATAACGCCTAATTATGAATCCTAAATAAAAGACTAAGGATGTCTTCCAAGTTTTACTACTGTACATTCACAATGCAAGGCTCATTTTACAATTTCTAATTGTCAATATCTATATACATAATGAATTAGACTTTTATTTTAATAAAGCACTATCTGAAGATAAATGGCATGCTCCCTTGAATTTAGTAGTTTGAATTTAAGATTAAACATGACAGTTTAATTCATGTGTGGATTTCACCATAGGTTTATCCTTTTATCCTGAGTTAAAGACTAGTATTCTAAATTTCCCATATTCTGGCACACATAACTATGATTTTTCCCCAGTAAAATTTGCCTGAAAGTTAGGGATGCAGCATGAATACATATATCCCAAAGTTGTTTTAATGAATGAATGAAATGAAAATTCCATTCTTCTCTCATCCACCTTTACGTCTGAGTTTTGAAAATATATTTTTCAAAATTCCTGAAACATTCCTTTTATTGTTTTATATCTCCCTACTGCTGTTAATAGACTTTCATCCTTACCTACCTTACTCCATGTATTCCTAAATGAAAGAATGTTCAAAGCTTGTTAAATGCAATTGTAATATATTATAAGAATATTCTTTTTTAACCACTTCGTCTCCAAATGGTTGTTATCCTTTGTTTTTCTACTGTTGCAGCATTAGTATATCACCCCATGAACTTCACCGTACTGTAATTATTTTAAGATAAACTAAAAGCCTGTGGAAAAGGTATTTCAGTCCTTTACCCATTAAAATATGGCAGCCTTCTCCAGTGAGGTATTTGATTGTTTAAAACAAATGCTTTTGAATTTGAGGCTTGGAGGTTTCCAAAGTAATACAGGAAGCTATTTTGAAATCCTAGAAAAATATACAGTAATTAAAAAAGAGATCATGAGATTTAAGAAACTTGCTGGCCAACTTATTAATGAAAAGGAACACTTCCCACACTTAAACACCTGTTGCTATAATCACTTCAAGAATGTAGTTGCTAATATCATGCTTCCTTGTCATGTAGTTAGACCAATTTGGATCTAGGTTTGAAGCTGGTAAGTTGTGAAACTGTGTCCAATTTCTTTTTAGATCAGTGGTTCTCAACCTTTTTAATGCCACGACCCCCAACCGGTTGTAAGTCGAGGACTACCCAACCGGTCATAAGTCGAGGACTTTCCCTGCCCGGGAGCGCCGAGCATGGGCGGTGCCTCCCCCTGCACTGGCCGAGGCGTAGCTGGCAAGCGGCAGAGACGGAGCAGGCCGACCACCAGCTGGGCCAGTCCAAGGGAAGTAAGGCACCCGCTGGGCCCCACACACGCCAGCAACCCTCCCTGTGCCTGCCAGCCTCCCACCTCCACTCCTGGCCCTCTTTTACTTACATTTTTAGTAGTTGCTCAGCAGGGACGGGTGGAAACTTCCAGACAGCTCGCCTTCGCTGCAGACAACTTGCAGCATTGTTTGCAGAATGGGACTTTTGGCGGGCTCAGCAGGGCAGAGACAGCCTGGACAATTCCTATTGGCTTTTGAAAGCCAATAGAATTAGACTCTATTCAAGAGAGGCTATTCTATTGGCTTTCAAAAGCCAATAGAATAAAAGGGAGTAGCACAGCTAAGGAAAAGGGGGAAAAAATGGCGGACTGCGCTGTTTGGCGACCCCCGTGAAATGGTTGTTTGACCCCAAATGGGGTCGCAACTCACAGGTTGAGAACCGCTGTTTTAGATCATAAAGGAAAGTGTTTTGTTTTCTTCCTTTCAATTGTCTCCAGTTCTTTGACACTATCTGGACAAGTTCCTGCCGTTTTTTTGGCAAGGTTTTTTTAGGAAGGAGTTTGCCATTGCCTCCTTCCTAGGGTTAAGAGAAAGTGACTTGCTCATGGTCACCCAGCTGACTTTGTGCTCAAGGTGAGACTGGAACTCCCAGTCTCCTAGTTTCTACTACATGAAAATGGCTCCTGATAAGTTTTAAAGTTAGGACTTTCCAAAATTAAGAATTTTAAAAAGGACATTCCAGAAGGAGGTCGTACAATCTATATTGCTAGCTTTTCCCAGGTTCATGCTGAGTCAAAACCATTTTTCATGCTTATATCTATATCTATCTCTCTGTCATTTCTTTCTTTCTCTTTCAGTATGGCTGCCTATCTCACAACAATGACTCTGGGGAATGTACAAGCAATTAAAACAACAAAAGCTGCAAACAATAACCCAGGTTTTCAAGCAGAATTGCAAAAATTAACTCCAAAACCTGTACTTTCCCAGTTTTCTTCATTCAGTTATATCAGTCTACCCTAATCCTTTTGTAAGTCTCAGGTAGGATATTGCCATTGCCTTAGAAAAGAAAACCATGTAATATTTAAGCTTTAATTACTACAAAAATAGGAAGCTATCATATACAGAATAAAATAATTTGTCTACAAACTCAGCCCAGTCCATACTGGTTGCGAGTGGCTTTTCTTAGTTTCAGAAAGACTTATTTTGCATATCTACATGGAAAATTTAACTAAGTGATGTTTTTATGCAAAACATGTCTTCTGTAAGTGCTTTTAATAATGTGCATTGAGAAAGAAAGAAAAAAATCAGCACAATTTTTCTTTAAAAATATACAATGCTCTATTTACTTTTATCCTAATGAAAATATCAGGATACAAAAAGAAAAAAAAAGCAGGCTGCCCTGGAGAAATCTGCACTTTATTGGAAGTTCATCAAGATTCTTCCAGAGTTATGAGAGGGAAGAAAGGAGAGGAGAGAGAAAAGAGTAAAGGAGGGGAGAAGGAAGTAGGAAGGTTGGAGGAGAAGAGAAGTGGGGAGAAGTGGTGAAGGAAAGAGAAGAGGAGAGGAAGAAGAGGGAAGTAGGGAAGAGAAGAAAGGGAGAAAGAAGGTAGAGAAGAAGGAATGTGGATACAGTAAAAGGGGAAATGGGTGAGCAACACCAAAAGTCATGTGTATATATTTATTTCATTTTATCAAAAGTATCTTATATATGAATGTAAAAAGAACGTATGTTAACATCTGATAAATATCACAGTATATGTATGAGGGAGAGTTTGGAAAAATAAAAAAATATTTTTTTAAAAAAAGATTCTTCCAGAGTTATCTGATGTCCATTGGGCCACTTCCACAATTTTGGGATAGATACAGAAGGGTATGTGTAGGTTTTCTGGATACAGATAATTAAAAATTACAGATTTTCCCTCAGTTCTCCATAAAAGGAAAGTGCCAGATATAGAGAGAGGGTACATTTTTGTAATCTAAGTTTCAATTAGAAAATAATTGGTATAATAATAATTTTACCAGAATGTTCATTTCTGATGCTGTTTCACAAAGGCAGAAATGTAAGCAAAAGTTATTAAAGAATATGGTGATATGTTTTATTTGACTATATGTCTGTTGCAGAATCAAGGATCATGGCTCCAAGAATAGAATGAGAACTATTACTAACTGGGAGGCATCTGAACCATTGCTATTTCGTTAGTGGGTGGATGCTGATCCCATTATTTTTATCCAACTCCCCCCTTCAATATATATTCATCTCAAAGCAGGCATATGTGCACACACCCACATGCCCATGCACTAGTATGCATGTCCACAAAGCCCTACTCACAGAAAGGAAATCACAGCAGCAAGTAAATGGGAGAATGTCGCAGCCTGAAGTCTGAACTAAATAGCTTATAACTTGCTGCCAGGGAGTCTCAACCAGGATAAGAATTGGTAAAGCCAGCACGAGTGCATAATAGGAGTGCCTTAAACAGAAAAGGCAGAAGGCAAGAAGAAGCAAATTATCTATATCCCTTTCAGTTGGGATTCAGACCCTGGTATGGGATGGAAACAACACTGGTCACACTTTTGGATCGACTCTAACAAGAGTGGAATTGGACATCCCTCCTTGCTCTACTTGACTTCTCTGAGACTTTCAATATTGGGATTGTGTCAGAAGATTGGAGGCTGGGCGACCCAGTCTTGTGCTGGTTGACTTCCTTTCTCCAGGATTAAGTCCAGTCGGTGATGACTAGGGAGGTGAGATCCTGTCTCAGCCCATACTAGGTGGGGTGCCACAGGGTTTAATGCTCTCTTGTCTTCTATTCAACATCTGTATGAAGTCATAAATTGATGAGACCCAACTATATATCTCTGCCCCTGGCAAATTAAGCAATGCCCAGAATATCATCTCTTGGAGACTGTGACAGTCTGGATGGGGAATAACAGGTTTCATTGAACCCTGGCAAGACTGAGTAGCTTTGGATTTTGGGACTTGCCAGTTCTAGGACTATATCATTTTTAGCACTGGATTGGATTGCACTACTCCAAATGGACCCAGTGCATAATCTGGGGGTCATCCTGGACTCACAACTCCTGTTCAAAGAGCAGATGGCAAGTGTGCCTAGGAAGGCCTTTTTACAGCTTTGTGTTGTGTGTCAGTTTCACTCATTCCTAGATTCAGGGACTCACTCAGGGATTCACTCATGCTCTAGTCAGGATTCACTCAGGGCTCACTCATACTCTAGTCACCTCCCAATTGGACTGCTGTAATGCACTGTGCATGGGGCTGCCCTTGAAAATTATCTGAAAGCTTCAGCTGGTATAGAATGCAGGGGTGTGGGCAGTTATGTGTACTTGTAAAAGAGTACATATACACTCTACTTTTTGAGCTGTACTAATTACCAATTTGCTTCTAAGTCCTATTGAAGATACTAGTTTCAATCTTTAAAGCCCTTCATGGCCTGAGATGAGTTATCTGAGTGACCACCTCTCCCTAATTATATCCATCCATCCATCCCATCAGTTCTGTCAGAGAAGGCATGCTGTTGGTCTTGTCTATTAGGAACTACACTTGGCAGTTCCCAAGAGGTGGGCCTTCTCTGCTGTGGCACCGACCTAATGGAACATTCTCTCTCCTGAATTGAAGTTAGCCCCATTCCTGTTAATATTCTGGAAGTTTCTTCAGATCTGGCTGTGTCACCAGGCTTTGGGCCCTGGTGAAATCTTCAGATGGCTCCATTATTGTAGTTAGCATTCACTCTCTCTAATGGCTTGTGGGTTGTTGTTTTTTTTAGATTTTAATAATGGCTGTTTTTATATATTTATTATTTTAATTAATTGTTGTATGCTGCCCAGAATCACAATAGCTATATACGATCGATCGATCGATCGATAGACAGACAGACAGACTCTTACATTAACATTTCTTTAAATGTTTAAAATTTTAAATTTAAAAAAAATGGATTAACATTTCTTCCTTGAAGTTTTCATGCACCCATAAACAAATATAAAAATAAAAGAACAACGCATCCCCTATTGCTTTAATTATTGTAGTAATGGAACTGCAGTGTTACCATAAGGGGAAAATAAATTAAATAAAATAAAACATGTTTAGTATCAAAGGAAGCAACGAATGCTGCAACTGGTCATAAATGTGAGCCAGTTGCCAAGTGCCTGAAATGCGATCACATGACAGGGGGGGGGCAGAATCAGCAATCTTAACTTTGAGCATGGGTCATAAATAGCTTTTTTGAGATGTGTCAAAACTTTAAATGGTCATTAAATGACTAGTCATAAGTTGAGAACTACCTATTTATGATATGATAAGGCTTGAGATATTATGTATTAAAAAGTCCATTACAAAGGTAGAAAATGTGCATGCAGAAAATGGTAATCTAATTGTAAAAGGGCCTGAGCAGCTCAACTACTTCACTTCCCTGTAATTCTTAAAATGACAAAAGGAAAACTATTAGATATAAATGAAGAGTAACCACAAACTGTATTTAATTACTTTAATTTTGCATTTTTCTGCATCCACCCATTTGTCAGAGTTTGCTCTCGATGGTTCACTCAGAGATTGAATTCAGCTCTTGCTGCGAAAACATTTCTCATTTGTTTCTCATTTTGATTAATATGCAAGGTCCTTCTTCAAGAGCTCTCTCTTTCTGTCGGGAAGTGAGATCTAATAAGACATTTTTGCTGCTATGTTTAGACACTTCAGGAGGTGTGCAACCCTTCCTACCTCATTAGTTTTTCACACTAATATTATTATATTTGTACTAATTATATCAGGGCTAGCTCTTTCATTAGACAGAATGTGATGTAAAGATACCAAAATATTTTCCATAATGTGATTCATCAAATCCCATGCTGCCCAATTGATTATTATCAGCTAGAAGAAAAACTTATGAATTCTGCTTTTATTATATTCGGTCATCAATTTTTGGACAAGGTCAGTTGAGTATTTGCATAGTTGATAGTCATATTTAGCTTTTCATGCAAAATTAGTGATTTGTTTATTGGAAAATAGCCCTTTTGACTGGATAACCTGAAATGAGGTTGAAGAAAAAAAAATGTTGGAATAGCAATTAAATCCTGTCTTTTTATTTATAGACTGAATGTTTCTTCATTCTTACTGATTCTGTAACTAGGCAAGCAACATCTCTGGAAAGTGCCAAGTTG